TAGTATTCGTCAACGAAGAAGAGACTACTCTACCCTCCCCACCCCCGCCTTCAGAAAAGAGTACCAGAGAGTCTAAGCCCAAAACGCCTCGTGCAGGTCCCTCCCTCCAAAAGAGCAAATGGTAAGACAAGGGAACGTTGGCACTTGGACAGGAAGTGCCAACCCGCCTTTAATAAACAAAGTTGTCTTGCCAGGTGTCATGAAAAGGTGTGGCAATTGGCAAGATTCTCGAACAGGAGCAGGGCTCTTATTTTCCTTTCTTCACCAGGTAGGCACACAAAGGTGCACACCCTTCCGAAAACTTTCAACACCCTTTTTCCTTATTTGTGCCACATTACGCACTTGCTGTCATTTTGAAACTGAAAATGGAGAATCTTTTTCACGCTCCTGTTTTCTCGTCAGTGGACTCTGGATTCCTGCTACGGCTACCCAGCTGACTTGCTCAAGGTGTCGTCCAAACCTTGCTTTTAACCACATCTTAAATGGTGGCTGGCAATGGCTTATTGTTGAACGGCACCATTAAGGGCACAACTGCAAGGATCAGTTGACACCTTTGAAGGCTTCCCTTTTGTGCTTCCTCACTAGTAAATGCATTACCTTCAGCAGACCGAGAGTTCGGTTCTCCGCCAAAAGACAAGAGGGGCTGGTCTCATAAAATAAAGAGTAGGCGTGGTGAGAAACAGACTGTAGCTACACACCTCCCAGCTACCCTGATATGGGTTAAAATCCTCATATGTAGCTTAGGCACTGAAAAGTTCTGCTGGTAAACATTGACTTAGTGGATGGACTTGACTTTGCGTTAAGCCATTGTACGGTTTGTTTGTTTTGGCTGGCTGATTATGTGAACCCAGCCAATGCTGGTTTCTACACCATGGTTTACAGTTTTGCATGTTGGTGCAAAACAAGCCATCTGTGGTTTTGAAATCATGGTTTGTAGTTTTGCATGTTGCTGCAAACCCAACCAACTCTGGTTTCTACACCATGGCTTACAGTTTTGCATGTTGGTGTAGAACCAGCCTATTATGATTTCTTCAATTAACATACAGTTAAACAGATAATAGCTTAGCATGAGGTGTAAACCCAGTCATGGACTGTTTTTTATTCAGTACTGTTATTATTGTTTAAGGTAGTGCTTCCCAACCTCAGCAACTTTAAGATGTGTGGAACTTCAATTCCCAGAATTCCCCAGCCAGCATGCTGGCTGGATTCTGGGAGTTGGTCCACACATACTGGCTGGGGGATTCTGGGAGTTGAAGTCCCATACCTTAAAGCTGCTGAGGTTGGGAAACACTGCTTTAATGTGTGGCCTTTCCAAAATGGGTGCCCTTTGAATGTGTTGGACCTCTCATGATCACCCCTCATGGGAGCGGCAGACCAACAACTAAGAGGATCCAGGTCGGGAAAGGCTGGTCTAATGGATTCCAGTAGTCAGGGATATTCTGTTAGTAAAATAGTCTACTATGACTTTCCCTTAGGAAAGTAATTTGCTTTCCTGGTTTCCTAGGCAACAGTTATTGTGGGCCAGGTCCCACATTGGCAGTATGGCTAAATCAACTCTTATGTTAAGTTATGGGGTGTGCTTAATCGTATTTTTGGGAATAAGGCACCAAAAGCTGGTAACACGTTAAATTCAACTGTGAACCATTGTTTACAAAGCACACTTCCTCTGTCCAGTATATCAACCTGAAACCCAGCAAATTATGTTAAGGATTAGCCTGTTGTGTGAACTCAGGCTGCATTTGACCAAGGCTGGTCAGAGCCAAGCTCAGAGTTTCAATCATTGTTTAATGTCGAGCCAGGCACAATTTATCAACCTAACCTGCCGTCCAGGACTGTTGTGAACTTAAAGGAAGGCCACGTAAGGCATCCTGAGCTTTTTGGAGCATAAAATAGGATATAGAAATGCAACTGAGGAAACAAGCACATCAATCAATATACGTAACTAGTCAGTTAATGAAGACAATGAAGAGCGTGGGAAGGAACAATATAGATGTATAGTCTTTTTAGCATTGGCATTTCCTGCTTTTTCCACAGTGGACACCTTAAATCACAGACTGTTCCAGGGGAAAATGTCCCTTGGAAGCTACGTTTACATGGCACATTAATCCTCAGATGTGAGGGGTTGCTGAAGCTATGATGTAAAGTGTTTCACCAAATCTTGTGGTTCCCAGATTGCAAGTCCCAAGGATATTGTTTAGGAAACTTCTGTTAAGGTGAATGGAGTAGAATTGGTAAAGATTGGAGACACAGAGCACTGGACAGAAAATGGTCCCTGAAACCAAAAATCTGTTGAATTTCTATGGGAACTCTTGGTGCTGTATTTTGAGATGGGGCTTATCTTGAATTTTGACACCATTATGTTCTTGCAGTGGGAGAACAGGATTTGGCCGCTGTTCTTTTAGCTGCTGGACAGAAGCCACCTGCTCTGGAGAGACTGCTCTTGGAGACACTTTAGTTTAATAGGCTGTGGTGTGAATTTCAGATAAAGTTGCTGACATCATGAGTGACTCAGGAAGGTAAGTGTGAGAGATAAACGTTCTATATTTTAATAACTGCCTGACTCAAGAGATAAGTGACAAAATTTCTGGGACCAACTGTATCCAAATGATAGACCAGGCAGTTGTCTGGGGCATTGTGTGATAAGAGGTATCCCCTGTGTATCTGATTCCTCCTTGCTATTTCTGCTGGTAAGATCCACTCTATGAAAGGTAGCCTTGGTTTCTCTCTATAGCGGCATTTCTCAACCTTGGCAACTTTAAGATGAGTGGACGTCAGCTCCCAGAATTCCCCAGCCAGCCAGACTGGCTG